AAAAAAAAAAAAAAAAAAAAAAAAAAAAAAAAAAAAAAAAAAAAAAAAAAAAAAAAAAAAAAAAAAAAAAGAAAAGAAAAGAAAAGAAAAGAGAGAAAAGAAAAAACAAGAAATCATGGTTTTTGTCATTAGGAGCTCACAGATCTGAGTGAACTGAGTCTGAATGAGAAAAAAGCACCTAGGTATTAAGGGCCATGCAGTTCAGTGTAATCATGATGTTAGGGTCAGTTGAGGCAGATCCAGGATGATGTTCATACAGTCTTGATGTCCTTGATTTAAAGAAAGAGTATAAAGATATTTTTGAAAGTTCTACAGAAGTAGATGACCTTGTGAACACATTACAGGGTCCCTCCTAGGTCCTGGACTAGGAACCTATGCATGAAAGGGGCTTCTGCCTCTTGGGCTTTGTGGTGAGCCCATCTCTGAGTTTGGTGGTGTGAGTTATGTTGGGCCTGCTCAGAGCTGAGCAGGGCAGAGTGAGGGGAGCCTCGGGATTTGAGGTGGCCATCCCACTGCTGCCCTTCGAGGAATTCCTAGACTCTGTGGGGCATTTTGGGACATGTGGTTGGCACACAGCAAATATTTGCTGAGTGTTTTCTATGTACCAAGCTAAGAGCTGTATGCTCACTAGTAAAGTGGATATGGTCCCCTCTTTAGAGAGTCCAGAGTCTAGGCTTGGAGGTGTTTGAGAAGAGAGTAAAATCTGGAAGAAAGCGGGATTGTGTTTGACTGTGAGCACTTTCCCCTTCTAGCTGAGTAACCTCAGCCCAGGACCTCTGCTTCACCTCAGGAGGAAGCCACTTACCTCTGTCTCAGACAAAGCAAAAATCTGGTGCTGAGGTTTGGGACGGCATCCACACATGATGCCTTCTGAGAGCTGACTCAAGGCACACAATCCATGTGATTTTTCTACTGGGCCCAAGGCACTGCCCACTCCATATGACAGGCCAGAGGGCGATCATAAGGTCACGATGCAGAAAGCACAAGGCTGTGAGCGGCATGAGGGCACTGACCATTAAGCAGCTGAAACAATTTTACTGGTGGTCTGTCTTGTATCATTAAGAGGGAAGCTCCATGGTGATGCGCAGCCTCGCCTGTCTTATTCACTGCTGTATGCTCAGCACTTAAGATAGGGCCTGGTATGCAGGTGGCACTCAGTGTCTGTTGAATGACTGAATGAAAGAAACATACTTGGTGGTCTCCGTTTATAGCAGTGTGACATGCTCATTATAGGTGTATTTCACTTACACACTTCAGGCTCCTTTTACTTGGATATTGCTCTCTGTGTCTATTTTTCGCAACCTCAGCACTGTTGATGTCTTGGGCCAGACAATTCTTTGTCGTAGGGATTGTCCTGTGCATTGTAAAATGTTTAGCAGCATCCCTGGCCTTAACTCACTAGATGTGTATAGCACCCTGCTTCCTGCCCTTAGTTGTGACAAACAAAAAAACATTTGCAGACATTGCTAAATGTCCCCTCATAACACAGTCATCCCTAGTTGAGAATCACTGGCCCATGTAGCAACTTTAGGCTTGGCAAAAAGGAAACTTAAGGTCTCAGGGTCAGAATAGGCTATAAAGATCATTGATTTTCACTTCTCATGCTATCCACTTATAAAGGTCTAAGCCAGTCCAGCTGTACTCACCTCCCCTGATGTGTTCTTGGTGGTGGCAAAAGAGCTGGCCCTCAGAGTTCCCTTTGACTCACACAGTGACAGAACCATTCTGAGCACAAGTCTATATTAATCCAGTGGTCAACATGCCTGCATGTAGACGGCGTCATTAGAACCTGGGAAGTAATGACATAGCAAAAGGGCAGAGGAACTGCGATGGCTTGGCTAGATCTTGCTCCGCCAGTTCACTACATACACACCCTGCCCTCCTATCACCTCTTTTTCTTCCCTTTGTATTTATTGATCTCAATCATCTCCCTGGCCCTTCCAGAACAATTTTGAAAATGGAAGGCAGGAAAGAAGAAAGAGGAAGAGAAGAAAAAGGAAAAAGGAGGTAAGAAGAATGTGAGTGTGGTACCACCGAAAGACATGCCCAGAAGAATTAGCCTTTACACTGTTGAACTACCATAGAGCTGGGTGTGTCCTATCAGTTCAGCCCCAAAATAAGGTTAGAATGGTTCTGTCACTGTCTGTAGACAGCTTTGGTCATCTGTATCAATATCTACATGATACATACAAAGAAATCTATCTGGAAGGCATCTAAAAGATGCATTTTGGATTTTCTCATAAGAACAGATCATTGACGTGGGATGGCCTCTTTTGGTGGAACAGAATAAGAAATACGCTAGAATGATGTTGAGTAAAGCATTTTGAGTTTGGGAGCAAGAAGAACACATCCTCTGCCATGTTTAAGCTACGGAAACATCTCTGAGACATGAGTCTGTAGTCACTCATCTCTCTCACTTTAACCCGAATCAGAGTCACTTGCCATCCAGTTTCACAGATGCTCCAGGCCTAGGGTTAAACTTTCTCCATATTACCTGTAACACAGGCAGATTCTCAGGAATGTGCTATGCCTTAGGGGAGGGAAAATAACATTTGCTGTCTTTATTCTGGAAAACATACATACTTGGAGTGTACACCATTTGCCACTTGCACAGAGAACCACCACACTCACTGCTGGTTGACCCTCCTCAACCCAGCTTGGCTGGTGACATGGGCTGGGCTCTTAGAGTGACTCTCCAGTGAAGCAGACTTTTCACTGCTACGTGGTTTGTTCCATTTATGCAGACTGAGCTTGCCTCCTTCCTGATTTTCCTCTGTTCTTTTTAAAGTCTTTTTCTGAGCATTTTGACTCCTGGCATCTGTGTGCAAATGTATGAACTTAAATATTACTCAATGATGGTGAGTTTATATTTGTTCATGGCATAGACATGGTCGTGCCCATGATTCCAGGTTCAAGCTTAAGGAGCTGAAATAAATGCTAAAAAGTAAAAGGTAGTACAGCTTGAGGACTAAAAGCTTGGTCTCTCAGGTCCACTGCTAGCCAAGCTTCAAGTTTTAGGTAAGTGACCTTGGGCAATATACCAGTCTCTGCCTCATCCTCTCATCTATAAAATGGGCCTAATTAAAGTGCTTGCCGTCTTTACAAGGTGATTGTCAGAATGGAAAAGGATAGCATATAAAAAGTACTGAGCAGGACGGGTATGGTAACTCATGCCTGTAATCCCAGCAGTTTGAGAGGCCGAGGCAGGCCCATCACTTGAGGTTGGGAGTTTGAGACCCATCTGGCCAACATGGTGAAACCCCATGTCTGCTAAAACTACAAAAATTATCTGGGTGTGGTGGTGCATACCTGTAATCCCAGCTACTCGGGAACCTGAGGCAGGAGAACCGCTTGAACACGGGAGACGGAGGTTGCAGTGAGCCAAGATTGCACCACTGCACTCCAGCCTGGGTGACAGAGCAGGCATTTTTGAGACTCTACCTCAAAAATACATGATAGGTAATAAGTAAGTAAAAAGTACTGAGTATATTGCCTAATGGGTAGCTAACACTCAATAAACACTAGTTATTGTTATTTAAAGAGCTATCTCAAGAATGGTTGGGTTTGTTTTTGAAACATTTCCAGCTGTGACTCCATTTTCTTTTTTATTTAGGTTCCATTTTTGGGGCGGAGGATGCATCACACTTGCCCATGTCTGCCAGGCTTGGCCTGTTTACGGACTTCATTTAACCGATTTATTTGTTTAGCCCGAAAGTAATCACTCTAGAGTAGAAACCAAATGTGAATAGTCACATCTTATCTGTAAAGTCTTATTTGTGATTGTGCCAAACAAAGAATGTGCCAGAAAGAAATGCTCTCGCTTCCTCAACTTTCCAAGTAACATTTTTATCTTCGATTTTTAAATGATTTCTTTTAATCCAAAGGGAATTTTAATTTTGGATAGAAATATAAAGTGTAAGGCATTATGGAACTGGCCCTCATTTCCCTGTTTGTGTTTTGGTTGGCTTTGACTTTTATTTTTTTGATGTCAAAAATGTACTTATTTTCACAAAAATGAGGAAAGTAGGAATTTGATATTTTGTTAAAGAAACTTTGTTTTCTCACCACTCCACGCCCCATTTGTGCCCCACCACAGATACACACATACAACCTTTGGTCTCTTGCCTCTTCCACCTCAAAGAATTTCAAGGTCCTTACTTTACTTTTCTCCATGTGTCTTCCCTCTTCTTACATTTTAAAGGGGAGGGTTTATCTCCTTGAGTTTGATGGCAGAAACACTGTTGGGAATCCAGCTTTTTGCCTGCTATTTAAATAGTGAAAAGGGTGTATATTTGAACTTGACACTCCAAACTCCTCTCATGCAGCAGACTTTGGGGGTGCTGCCGGAGCCTTCTTAAACCCATCACTCCAAGAGGACTTCACCTCGGTTGATGGGCTGGTGTGTGGACAGAAGGAATGGAAAGCCAAATTAATTTAGCCCAGATTTCTAGATTTGGGTTTTTCTAAAAATAAAAGATGACATTAACTTCTTTTTCTTTTTCTAAAGTTTTGTGTTTTTTTTTTTTTTTTTTTTTTTTTTTTTTTAGTCTCCTACTTAGAGATATTCTAGAAAATGTCACTTGAAGAGGAAGTATTTATTTTAATCTGGCATAACACTAATTACCATATTTAAATTGGTATTAAGTTGTAATTTAAACCTTGTTTGTAACTGAAAGGTCAGTTGTAATGGATTGCCGTTTGTACCTGTATCAATATTGCTGTGTAAAAATTCTGTATCAGAATAATGACAGTACTGTATATCATTTGATTTATTTTAATATTATATCCTTATTTTTGTCACGATTGTTGTCAGTTTTTATTATCAGCAGATTTCTAAGTAGGCTACGTTTCAACATGGATAAAGACCCCAAAGTTGGTAAAATAGCCCCAAAGATGATGTGCATTTTCATTTTATATACAGCAGAATTCTGTATGGAATCTGTGAAATAATAAAACCTGTTGCATGGATTTTAAGGTGGTTCAAAAAATAATGCATAAATCAGCGAGATCTTGGAGCATGAAGGAAAATGTTGCCATGCAAAACTGATTGTAATCAGGAATGGACTCGTGGGACTGAAGTGTATTGACTTGGCAGACAGTGATGGGAGTGTGTCCCGGGTGGTTAGGCAGGGTGCTAGGTGCTACCACACAGTGATGCCAACGTAGGCTGGCCTTGAAAACCCACCAAGTATTGTAAATAGTTTCAACGTCGCAAATAAACAACTTAAGAAATGTGTTTAACTGACTAAACTTGCCCATGCCAACCCACCAACCATTTCCAAACACAGAAACTGTCCATTTTGTAGTTATTGACTCAGCTTGGGCTTACGATTGCATATTGTAATTTTACCCCTTGGGCTAATGTGTCCCATAAGTGTGTGGGAGTTTACTGTGTTAATTACCAAGCGTGGTCAGAAAAATGTTATTTTTGGTTGTTTAGTTCGTGTTCAAGAAACATTCCTCTGTGAGTTTGCTGAAGAAAATTCAACTTCAACAAGTGGAATTGTGAGTAAAGAAACAGGCACTTTGGCGATTTTGTTGTTTGTTTTCATATACTGTCCATGACTTTGAAGGCTATGTTGACGAGGTGCAGTGGCTCACACCTGTAATCCCAGCACTTTGGGAGGCCAAGGTGGGAGGATCGTTTGAGCTCAGGAGTTTGAGACCAGCCTGGGCAACATGGAGAAACCTCATTTCTAAAAGAAAAGAAAAATTAGCTGGGCACATTGGCATGCACCATTAGTCCCAGCTACCCAGGAGGCTGAGGTGGGAGGGTCACCGAAGCCTGGGAGGTCAAGGCTGCAGTGAGCTGTGATATTGTATTACTGCACTCCAGCCTGGGTGGACAGAGCAAGACCCTGTATCAAAAAAAAAAAAAAAAAGAAAGAAAGAAAGAAAGAAAAAAGCTATGATATTTTTTCCAGTTCCTAGGATCGACTCACACACATGCTGGGACTTCATATACCAGAATTTCCACAAGGTAAGGCAAGATGAAAATTTACATCAAAAAAACTAAGTCCATAGTCTACTTTGAAAGTACCATGAATGAATTTCCTTCATTCTAAGGTAGAAAGAAATCTTATGCCAGAAGATGATGCCCAAACTCTACTGGACCTTCAGATTTCTTTGCAAACATTGACTTTCATGAAAACTATCATTTCTGACTCTTTTGCCTTTTATCAAAAGCAACATTTTTTTAAACAATAAAAAAGTTTATGCCAAAACTATTTCCTATAAACCGTCCTAGCTCACTGAGGACCTTCATTCTTCTCAGTATTTCAATGTAGTTCTTTTGTTAGAGCCCTTTACAAAGTCAGTCCAGTGATAGATCAAACACATAACCCAATTTTCCTCTTTATTGGTTTCAATATTAGAAATCTCATCCCACCCTTTTCTAGCTTCGTTTTTAGAAGGTCAAAGCTGGGGGCCATTTTAATTTTAAAAACTGGACATTTTTGGTATTCACTAAGAGTCCCTGTGAAATTCACTGGCAACCTTTTATGGTGTTTCCATCTTCATGTTTCCATGTCGTTCTGATAACATCCTCAAAATTAATATTTCATCCTCTGATGTCTTCCCCAAAGTTGTTAATTCTTAGTACTCCCTTTTGTGTTGAAGAGAACTGTTTCTTCCAGCATTTTCACAAATTTTAATTGACAAAAACTGTATTTATGGTATACACATGATGTTTTGAAATATGGATACTTTGTAGAATGCTAAATTGAGCTAATTAATGTATGGACTACCTCGCACGTCATTTTTTTGTGATGAGAACAGTTAACATCCCTCTTAGTGATTTTCAAGTATACAGTATTAACTATAGTCACTGTGTTGTATGATGGATCTTCATTCCAGGATTTTTAAATTTTTTATTTCAAAGATGACGGTCTTTAACAACATGATCTTTAAATAAACTTTATTATCACACACACACACACACACATACACACAATACACATATATGCATATATTTTAAGGGCACTTTCAGAGTACACATTTCCCAAAATTAGAGGCGCAATGGTGATTCTGTTCTTCAAGCACCATCCCCATTTTTTCCATCACCCACCACTCTCAAAAATTCTGATTTCATTTTTATACGATGAGGCCTAAGTGTTGGGATTTTTTTTAAGCTCCCTGATTTAATTGTAAGGTGCATCCATAGTTGAGAGCCACTGAGAATCAACAGAGGACTGTACTCCTATAGAAAGGTTACTGGTACCCAGTGACACTATTTGCTGAGATACCTTTCCAGGTGAATTAGAAATGAGAATAGTAGCTGAGAGTCTTTGATTTTCTTGCCACCCTCAAAAGTTCCTGTGGTCCTCAGCCCTCCCTTTCATTCTAGAGGGAAACACACAAAGGGGTCCCACTGGAGAATTTCCAGCAGCAGTTACCTAGCCCATTTGAAGAATTCATGTGAAATTCCCTAGAATTAGATTAGGGAAGCAGACTCCAGTCCAATCTGGCTGGCCTCACAGCTCCCTGGGTTTCATGAGTTCTCATATCCTCTAGTGTACCCTCCTGGGTGACCCAGCTTCTGAACTCCCCAACAGGCACTCTCCTCTCCCAGCCCCTTCCCCGTACATCTCAGGATTTCATTCTGTTTTAACTGGGTCCATAAATCATCTAAGTGCTTTAGAAAGCCCAATATTGCACCACACTGAATAAATCAGACTGGTAAGCATTTCAATAAAATACATATTTGTCACAAAAGATTAAAAGCAAAAAAGTAGAAAATTGTGTTATAGGCAACATGATTGCTGGCAACAAAATGCAAAGGCTAATGCATATTACGTGCATTCTGAGGATGCATTCTTATGCCCCTGTAGGGATTCCCTCATCATAAAGCCTGGAACACCGACTCATGCAGCTTTGCCAGCTGGGTAAAACGATGGCCTCCATGGAGTGACAACCGTGGTGAATAGTTCCAGGCACTCTCACTTTACTCCAGACCCGAGTTTCTCAATCTCAACACTAGTGCACTAGTGACTTTCTGGGCAATTTTTTTTTTTTTTTTTTTTTTGAGACAGAGTCTTGCTCTGTCATCCAGGCTGGAGGGAAGTGGCATGATCTCTGCTCACTACAACCTCTGCCTCCCGAGTTCAAGCGGTTCTCCTGCGTCGGCCTCCTGAGTAGCTGGGATTACAGAAGTGCACAACCATGCCTGGCTAATTTTTGCGTTTTAGTAGAGATAGTGTTTCACCATATCGGCCGTGGCTGGTCTTGAACTCCTGGCCTCAAGGGATCTGCCCACCTCAGCCTCCCAAAGTGCTGGAATTACAAGTGTCAGCCGCTGCTCCTGGCCCTGGGTCACATAATTTATTATTGTGGAGGAATCTCCTGTGCATTGCACGATGTTTAGCAGCATCCCTGGCCTCTAGTTCCCAGTAACACTCCCTAGGTTTTGACAACCGAAAATGTCTCTAGACATTTCCAGGTGTCCTCTGCAGGTTGCAGGTGGGGATAAATTATGCCCCTTTGAAAACTGCTGCTTTAGTGTAAAGCTATTTTGTGTCTTCTTGGCTTCATTTAATAATAATATGTTTTTATTGCAGTATAGAAAGTTGGAAAGATGGTATTTAAAAAGTTAAACCTCCAAATCTGACATTGCAAAATCAGTATCCTAAAAAAACAAACAAAATATTTTTGTTTTCAAAATAGGGGGCTGGGGATACTGGTGGCTCACACCTGTAATCTCAGCACTTTGGGAGACTGATCACTTGAGGCCAGGAGTTCAAGAACAGCTTGGCCAACATGGCAAAACAGGTAGCTGGCACATGCCTGTAATACCAGCTACTCAGAAGGCTTAGGCACAAGAATTGCTTGAACTCAGGAGGTGGAGGTTGCCTTGAGCCAAGATCAAGCCACTGCACTCCAGCTTGGGTGACAGAGCAAGAGCAAGACTCTGTCTCAAAAGAAAAAAAAATAGTAGTGGAATGGCAAACATTGGATATAGTTTACATATTCAATAAAAAAAAAGTTATCTGTCAGATCTATAGTTTATTGTGTTTCAAGGAAGACATTTTTATAGTCACTCTTAAAAATAAAGTTTAAGATGAAGGGCTCAGATAAATTCCATCATAGACAAATTAGATGAATGATACTGCATCTTTTTTTCTTTTCTTTTCTTTTCCTTCTTTCTTTTTTTTTTTAGGAACTGGGTCTCACTGTCACCCAGGCTGGCCTTGGACTCCTGAAGTTCAAGTGATCCTCCTACCTTGGCCTCCCAAAGTGCTGGGATTACAGGTGTGAGCCACCACACTCAGCCAACTTCACATCCTTAGAGTACACTTCTAACACATTTCCACATTGTTTAAATTTTAGTATTCTTGATTAAAATGTGATATAACTTATGAAAAATGTTTTTTTTCACAAATGTAAAAGCTTTGCAAGCACAATTGGGGAAAATTGTGCTTTATTAAGTTAAACAGTTGACTAACTGCTGAGAGGTTCTCAAATAGAGTTTCCCTCCAAACAAGATTGAGGCTGGCAGGAGTGCATTTGGTTCATTCTTAAGCAAATCAACAAAAACTTTGTATTATTGAAATTTTTTCTTTTTGCCATTTATTTATTTTATTGTATTTTAGGTTTTGGGGTACATGTGAAGAACATGCAAAATTGTTGCATAGGTACACACATGGCAGTGTGATTTGCTGCCTTCCTCCCCATCACCTGGCATTTCTCCCCTTGCTATCTCTCCCCAGCTCCCCACCCCCCACCGTCCCTCCCCTATTTCCCCCCAACTGACCCCAGTGTGTAGTGCTCCCCTCCCTGTGTCCATGTGTTCTCATTGTTCAACACCCACCTATGAATGAGAACATGCGGTGTTTCATCTTCTGCTCTTCTGTCAGTTTGCTGAGAATGATGGTTTCCAGGTTCATCCATTTTAAACATAAAGGAAAGGAAGTGTAAAGAAGTCTCGTATGTCCATCATCCAGTGTCTCATCAGCATTTATCATCTAGATGCCAAGCTTCTTCTACCTCTACCTCCCCACCTACCTCCACCCCTTCTGTATTGTGTTGAAGCAAACCTGTTTTGTTCTTTCTTGACAAGGTCCACTGGTCACTGTTTCATTTGGAAAAGACAGCGGGCTCTAAGGTAATCTCACTGTTCAATCTGTGCTCCTAAATATTTGCTCTTGAGATATATTTTTGAAATCCAAAGTAGGAGTTTGAAATGGAGGAGCAAAATATTTCAGGCTCAAAATGTGTATGTGGGTGAACGTTTGCTCCTGTATAGAAATTTAAAAGAAAATATTTTGTGGCTCAAAATGTAAGAGACTTAGAGAAAAGTATGTGTCTAGCTGTGGTGCTGTGATTGGTTTATAGTAGTGGAATGGTGTCTGAAATTATTAGTCCTTTGGACAGCAAATGTGAGTATTCTATATTAATTTTTTTGAATGTGGTTAGAAGAGAAAAAATTTCTACATGGAAAATATTAATAAGATTGGTAGACTCTTACTTGTCTTCTACAGTTCATTCATTCTCACCTTTATTCATTACTTCTCGTGTTCTCTCTTTCTGTTTTAGCAGGGTACATGACCATCCATCTAGAGACTGGAGACTGCATTTACCAGCTGCCCAGGTGTGGCCATGTGACATAAATTCTTAGTGATGAAATGTGAACAGAAATGATCTGCCTCTCTTACTTAAAAGAAAATTCCACTTCCTCTCTAATGAGGAGTTGCAATAATGAATCTGTCTGCTTTGCAGAGAGTGAAGGCAATTGGGGAAAATGGTAGAGCTGACCCACCAATGTGGGTCCGTGGATAATCTCCACCAGTCACCCCATATCAGGGAGGAACCATCATGCCACTGTGTGGCTTTGTTGAAGCACTCCCACCTCTACCCTAACCAATAGGTGGAATCATTCTCTTCAAAAGTGCATCATGGTGTTATAGTTTATACTTCATTTCACTATGTTTTAAACATTGTTTTTGTGTTCTTGTTCAGTGGCTGCAATGTAGAGCGTGGGATCAGTCACCACACCCACCCTCCCAAAACTGCTTTGGATGTTGAGACTGATGACAGGAGGATGTGACAACACTTATTACTCACATAATGGAATGTTCTGGTAAGAGCAAGCACAGGTTGGCCCAGATGGCAATGGCAAGGCACTGAGGTTGATTTTCAGTTTGATTGTGACCAGGAAGCAGAGCCAGGCTGCGAGTTCTTACCAGGGTTGGCTAGCTCCTGTGTAGAGCAAAGACATAATGAGAGAAAGAGAAAGAGAATGATGGGGTTTGAGAGCTGTCAGTGTTCCAATGTCAAAACTGAGTTTTACACTTAACTATAGTCCTGGTGTCTTCATGAGAACCTGCTAATCAGATAAAGAAAGAATTTTCAAATGGTTAAACTTACTTAAAAATTTTGGTCATGAGAGCTCCATATTCCAAACCCTAAGAAATTATGTAAATCCATCTTCTTGCAACCACTATTTTAAACTCTGAAAGCTGTCACCTGCCCATGGATTAAGACGTTTTAGAGACAGGGAAAGTCACTGAGGCCCATTACAACTGTAAATTTTCTTATGGTGTTGAAATGAATTTTAATCTGGCCAAAAGATAACCAGAAAAAAAAAAAAAAGACCAAACTTTAAATGACAAACTTAAGAGTGAACAAAGCTGCTTTTCAAACTAGCAAAAGCAAAGTAATGTAAAATTAACAGAAAACTAATCATGTCTTTATATAATTGTGTTTCTTTCAATAGAAGCAAATCATTAAATGTATATCCAAAACTATTAAATTCTAATATATTTATAAAACTTATGAAGTAACTTACAAATTAAAAAAAAAATCCTTTGTGAGACCACGTGTCACTATACTCATAAAGGATTAGAACAATTATGCAAATTAAGTTCTAGAAATAGCTCTGGGTATCCCATAATTCCTCAAGACAGATATGCAAATTAAACTGATTGTGACTGTGGGTTAAAAGAATTACACACTGTACATTTACACTCCTTTTGTCACTTTGCAGAATGAGTTCCTGTGACAGGCTTTTTCATATCTCTTCTCTGTCTTTCACTTCTATGTAGCACTTTGCCATGCACATTGGTCAATATTCTGGAAATATATGGGGAATTTATAAGGAATAAAAGGGAAAAATAAGTCTGTTAAATGAAAAGACAAGAAAAAGTTTCATCTCATGCATTTTAAGCTTAATGATTCCTATAGAATTTTTTAATAGGACATATATTAGATGGCATTGAAATGTAAATACTTTTTCAAAGCCTTTCAAAATCACAGCACATCTACACCTTCAAGAAAATGAAACCATTTACTGTTCCCTCCAGGTTCAAACCAAAAAACAACGTATGTGGCCTGGCACAGTGGTTCATGCCTGTAATCCCAGCATTTTGGGAGGCTGAGGCAGGTGGATCACGAGGTCAAGAGATCAAGACCATCCTGGCCTACATGGTGAAACCCCATCTCTACTAAAAATACAAAAATTGGCTGGGCATGGTGGCACGCACCTGTAGTCCCAGCTACTCGGGAGGCTAAAGCAGGAGAATTGCTTGAACCCGGGAGGTGGAGGTTGCAGTGAGCTGAGATCGCACCATTGCCTCTAGCCTGGGCAACAGAGCAACATTCCGTCTCAAAAAAAAGAAAAAAGAATGTATGCTTCTTGGATATCATTTTCTGGCAGAAAATAAGATTTCCATCCCAGAAAGCTATGCAGATTGGCATAGTTCAGATAATATACATTTTTCAGGGAAATGTTTAAATATACACTTTTCCAACAGTTTACATGCTTTCCACCTAGATTGGTCTGGCCACTTAAAACTTAATTTATAAATGACTAAATTATTTCTACTAGAAGCCAAGTAGTGATAGCTTTAATTTATCTGTCTCCTAAATGTAACTGAGAAATACAAATATTACATTTATGCCTTGACGTTGCAGCTTAAAATGTTTTTGCATGATTTCTCTGTGTAATTTGAAATGACTTCAAAACTTCAGACTTTCAGATATTAAGTTCGAGCTGTTTATTTATCTCAAATGCTTCAACTAGGATACAGAGTTGGTTGGGTACCTACTGAGCCTTTTCCCTGCCCTTTTTTTCCCTTAATGAAAGCAGGAAATACCCTTCTCTGTGGTATAAACCTGCCATTTCCCCTTCTCCTCCTTTTGGAGGGTGTTGAAGTGGCACTTTTCAGGTCTACCTGTTTAATTTCTATTCAGTTCTGACATTTCTGGTCAATGGTGTCTTTCCTGGCTCTCTTCACAGCATGGTTTTATGTAAAAAACCTCCTCCACTAAAAAGACCACATTCCTTACCAGCACTTGACTATTTGGATAGAATTGGAAGAAAAACCTTTGAAGAGGGAATTATGCGGTTTTATTTTGCTTAGAGAAATGCATTTTGGAAAATGGATTCCAGAGTGCAGAGAGTGCAGAAGGAGTCAGAAAGAAATGTAAGAACCCAGGAGGAGAGAGAGATGGAACCTGGACAATTTCTGTTTCAGTCTTCGGGGTTTCTTTTTCCCTCCTTTCCAAACAATCGATGATGATGCCTGATCTCTTCAGTATTCCCGAGCTCTTTATCTAGATCCCTCTTTTGGCATCTACCCCATGTTCTGCCTTGCTTTGTGGTTTTGGGTACATTTGCCAAGTTTTCCCAATTAGCCTGCTAACTTTTTTTTTTTTTTTGAGATGGAATCTCGAGCTGTCCCCCAGGCCAGAGTACAGTGGTGTGATCTTAGCTTACTGCAACCTCCACCTCCTGGGCTTAATTGATCCTCCCACGTCAGCCTCCTGAGTCGCTGAAACTACAGGCATGCATCACCACGCCTGGCTAATTTTTGTATTTCTAGTAGAGACGGGGCTTTGGCATGCTGGCCAGGTTGGTCTCAAACTTCTGGCCTCAGGCGATCTGCCTGCCTTGACCTCCCAAAGTGTTGGGATTACAGGCATGAGCCACCACGCCTACTATCTCTTTAGTAAGAGTGCTGCCCCTTCCGTATCCCTGTGTCCTTCTGTACTGCTCAACACAGAAATTGGCTTCTGAGTCAGCCCCAGGACCTGGGGCCCTTTCCCCTGTTAAGGAGCAAGGCATTTTAGAATGTAGAGGGCTAACAGTGAGACCAACGATTTAGGAGAAATAATTGTGCCATTTTATTTCTTAAGAAATAAGAAGGAGAGAAGGAAGGAAGGGAAAAGAGAAACGGAACAGTAGAAACCAATATGACATTTGGTAAGGCTGAGTAGTGGACACAGAGATTATCATTATTGTTACTGATTTATTACATGTTTCCCTGCTTTGCTTAAGATATTTCATTAAAAAAATGAATATGTCACACCTGTAATCCCAGCACTTTGGGAGGCCAAGGCACATGAACCACTTGAGGCCAAGAGTTGGAGACCAGCCTGGCCAACATGGCAAAACCCTGTCTCTGCTAAAAATACAAAAATTAGTTGGGCATGGTGGCAGGTGCCTGTAATCCTAGCTACTTGGGAGGCTGAGCTGTAATCCTACTTGAACATGAAGAGAGGTTGCATTGAGCTGAGATCATGCCACTGCCCTCCAGCCTGGGTGACAGAGCAAGACTCTGTCTAAAAAAAAAAAAAAAATGTCAGGTGTACATTTAAACAGATACATAGACATATCGTCCTTCTACAAAACTATTTGATATCAAAAGTCCTAAAAATGCTTGTTTTTACCCAATAATTCCATGCTAGAACATACAAAGATGTATGTACAAGAAGCCTGTTTTCTATTGCTTCAAGTATAGTGACAACTCCGTGGGCAGGTGAGGAAGCTCCGCTAAATTGATTTCCCAAATAATTAAAGTAAGCAATTTTAATCTTCCCTAAATACTTGGGACCTGTGCTGGTACGATAAGTGGAGTACTCTGGACACAACTAACCTTCTTTTGGATAATTTTTTATTAATGTAATTAATAATCAAAGCACATGTTAATAGATTCAGCGATCCTAAAAGCTATTTGGGGTGGCCTTTTGTACCTCTTCACCTTCTCCTAGATAGCTTGTTTCTCTGCCTCTTTTGGTTCTTGTTTTCTTTACAGTTGGCTGTTATTTCTTGCTACTTACTGTCACCTGAACTGTCACTAGAAATTGTGCTTTCCCTCATCTAATCAGAACTTTAAAACATAAAAACAGAAAACCCAGGTAGCCAAGTTTGAACACACCATATCTGAAGTAAATCATATCTGAATGAAGTCCTGGAGGTCTGTCTCCAACCACCTGAGGAACTTGTTGAAATGCTTTTCCCCAGGACTCAACACATCCTCCTAAGACTCTGGATCATGCAAACACTTAAGGTACTTTGTATGAATGTTAGAATATGAGAACTCTAGTTTATGCATTCTCATATGAAAAAATATCCCTTGAATTCAAGGCATAGCCAACGAGTCATCTCTGGTGCAGCTGAGCTGCTGCCCAAAGCTAGAGTGGCTCAGGAGTCAGACTTGATGGGTTGGTTCCTGTGCCATGCCAGGTGTGAAAATACACAGAAACTTGGTGATCTCTGTTTGGGGGGACTTGAGACAGGGCCTCAAGAACTCTGCTATCCAGGCTAGGGTGCAGTGGCACAGTCATGAGTCACTGCAACCTCTACCTCAGCCTCCCCAATAGCTGTGACCACAGGTGCACGTTACCACACTCAGCTAATTTCCTGTAGAGACGAGGTCTGGCTAGGTTGCTCAGGCTGGCCGCAAACTCTTGGCTTCAAGCAATCCTCCTGCCCAGCCTCCCAAAGTTTACACTTGAGCCATCACAGTCTGGTCCAACCTCTTATTTTTTTAACTGACATCACCTGGGCAGATGGAGGGTTACATGAGAGATGTACTTCCCAGGCTCCTCTGTCTTTGGGTTGGCTGAGGTGTCTGATCAGTGGCCTTTGGATGATTGAAGCCAACCTGGACCCATAATGTGGGGAGAAATAGGGTAACTGTCTCATATGAGACTGTCTTCATAGACTGATTAATTTCCACAACAAAATCAAATCATATAGCCTATTTACCAGAGATCAATTAAATTGACCATACTCTCTTTTCATAACTTATCCCCACTGGACTGAACATTTAATAGTTTATATTACACTCAACTAACTTTCAAAATACCTACCACCTCCATTTTTACCTAGTACTTTTATCAAAAATGATTGTTGTACTCGAGTTTGAAATGTTTATTTAAAAGCTTTTTTTATGTCATTTAATGAAGTCATTAAAATGTTCTGTCACGCAAATAAATAAAAGTTTTAAAGCAGTATATGTCTACTGCTTCTTCCCTTTAAAGACTCACAGACTTTTATCTTGCATTTTAAATTAAGCCGCCACATGTCTTGGATATGCAGAGGGTGAAACTATGAAATCTATAACTAAATAACATGTGCTAAAAGGATCACAGAACATGTTATCCTTAGATAACATACTTAGAGGCATGTAACATACTTAAGACGCATGTACCACTCCAGCCTCAAACAACACCACCACAACAAAACCACCACTCCAGAATGAAAATACTGGTATATTTGTATAATGCAAAGAGAAATACAGATATAAATCCTCAAAACGGAAAGTACATTAATAAAAATGTAGCATTATAAGCAAAAAATATTATATAGTACTTGCAGAATTTAGTCTTTCAGTTTAACATGATAATGTCTAACAAAGAAATATTACTTAAATTATAGTTCTC